AGATTTACAAAATCTACGTTTCGTTCAATTTCGCAAACCAATCGATGAAATTTGAATAAGCTGATTTGTTTGGAAAAATAATTTAACAATAAACCCTACTTTGCGTTTTAATAATTTCTTTAATTTAATATTATTTTATAGAATTCATGGTAAACAATATTTTTTAAGGAATTTTTTCCCTTTTCTTTTTTAACAGCGAAGAATAAATTCTTAGGATTTATTATTCTTGATCATGCAACATAGAACTGGCTATGCATAAATATGTCTTTCTGGAGACAAATTCCAACATTTTGAAGTGTTTGGCCTTGTGACAAGCTTATAGCTCTCGCAAACGTAAGGCGAACAAGCAATTGCATTCTTCTATATAAAAACTTAAAGAAAAGCTATTTAACAAAATAATATTGCATTTTATTAAAGAAATATTTGTTATTTCAATCATTAAATTCTTTTTAAAATAGTGGAAGTATTTTGTATGTTAAATAATAAAACATATTTTTTTCAAAAAAATATTAATGAAAATTTATTGTACTAAGCTACGCATCCAAGTAAAACCAAGTGTACTTTGTACACGCTTATCTGTTCGCGCTTCTCCTCAAAATGTGGTTTCGATCGGTCAATTCATGAGTATTTTAGAGGGTGTGAAAGACAGAAGAAGTAACGGAAGTTACAGCATTTTTATATGGACAAATTGTCGTAATTTTTTTGTTTTTGTTTTTTTTACGTATGCGCGTTATTGGCTTTTGATTTTGCCGATTGCACGGTATAGTAGGGTCAGTTTTGAAAATAAGATCATCATGACACAATTCACTCCATCAGAAATTTGGAAACGACATATTGTACTGCTTGGCATTCGCATAAGAACATTTCAAAGTTTTGGGGTGTTAATCTGAGGCCAGTAGAATGTAATCGGAGAGATTTGGATAATACCGTTAATTCATTTCTTTGGTTTAGCAGAACTTTATTTTTGTGTTTTCAAGAAAAGATGCATATTGTAAAGTTTCCTAACAATAAAGTTCTGCTAAACCAAAGAACTGAATTAACTGTATTATGCCGGCATTGTATAATTTTAACTTAAAATATAGTCAAATGATTTTTTCATAAATATGCATTGTAATTACATAACCATTATTTTATTAGTATTCAATGATCCATACACTATTAATTTGATTTGTTCAACTTTTATATTGCTTTGTTTTATCGTCAATTCAATATAATTAGCATCGTATATATATATTCGAAAAAATGTTTTTAACTTTACCTATTGGCCCCTTTAAGGAGTTCACTGAGTATATAAAAATCGAAAATTCTTAAAAAACTTTTCTTCAAGGTACATTTATGTCTACTTCACTAAATCTGAACTCTATATTTGGTTTACAAAATGTTTGTTGCTGCCATGTCTAGAGTGTCAATTTATCATGACATGAATTAATAACCCACCTTCCTCCAACCTCTATACTTGTTTTATATTTTTCCTATTTTAGCTTAGATCTGAATTTTAATTGGTTAATCCAGACATGCCCACAAGTATATTGTTTAATTCTGATCTTAGCCCTTCCCAGCCTTTTAAACTTTCAAGAGGTAAAGATTTGCTTTCAAATTTCCCAAATAAATCATTTTAATCATATGTTATCTACCATCGCCCAAAGAAGAGCATCATATTTTCGAAACATCCGCATTTATATCTAGTGGTGTAACGTGTTTTATTGTAATCTATTATGATAAAAAAATAATAATACATTGCTCTAATTTGTATTGAGCACTTTTAGAAAAGTTAAGGATTACGAAACCTGGATTCTTACTGAATCTAGTGTTACTCTTATTTTTTTATATATATATATATATATATATATATATATATATATATATATATGGTGGTCTGACGATCGCGTATAGCATGAAACAGACTGTCACCTCTAAGTGTTAACTTCAATGTTCACTTTTATATTTTAATAACACTTTATCTCTGTATTGAGCATTTTATCCCATAAATATACCTCACCTTAAGAGTATATTTTTCACACACACACACACACACACACACACATATATATATATATATATATATATATATATATATATATATATATATATATATATATATAGGTACATAGCTATTTCTGGAGTGTTCACGTCATGATTATAACGTTCGCGAGAAATGCTTGGCTACTACCAAGCCAACTTTGGCACTCTCAGAATGGACTGGCATAAATATTACCAAGAAACTCGGCGAATCTCCAACAGGGGCTTTAGAATTATTGTCTGACCTTTGTTGAACATGTTTTGTGGTGCAAATTCTTTTATGATCGGGGAGAACACTTCCGTTTCTTAAAGATAGTAAAGCTATATAATCATTGGAATCAGTTTCTGCAAATTTTACTTCTGGGTCTTTTTTATTTTCAAAGACTGTGCCATAATGACCCATGAGAAGAAAAAGAAAAGTGCTCGGAGAAGACAAATGTAATTAATTTAAATAGTATTCAAGGTAATATTTGACGGTTTC